GTGGAATTCTTCGCAAAAGTAAGAAAGAGAAATAGCATCAACATCAACAATAGGATAAGAGAAAAAATAGCATGAAAAAAGATCAAATCCTAATTTAGAGGTTTTAGGATCAAGAATGGTCGAAAGAGATGGTAAGAAGATTGGCTAAACAAACAGTGATTGGACAAGTCCTTCAAAAGACATGTTACGCTAAAAATCAAACCTAATACTCACGAGTTCAAGCCAACAAATGACAACCAAATTCTTTACCCAACGAAGAATCTTCCATCGATCAAAGCATATTAAGTTACTCGCTTTTTTAGACATCTGGTGAAAAGTTGACGACAGAAATGATATTCACTAATGCCATTGCATCAATAAAGATTAAGACGCTTTTGAATTACAAATTAAGAGGAAAGGTTCAACATAACATAAGATTTCTACAGAAAATGATAGGTAAGCTCTCAAATTGATAGATTATAATATTGACACAAAAATCTCCTTGAAAATCTAACAACCTGTTAAAGGTCATTAGACATATGCATTCAAACCTAACCAAAAAAAAAACAAAAAAAACAGGAACAAAATAATAGAAATATGCAGAATTCGGCGACTCGTCGGAATGATACAAATAGTTAAGATAGAGAATACCTCTTGTCGGAAGGGCCTCCTTTCTGGCTGAGGAAGGAGCGGAAGAGTGGGGAGTTAACGTCGTAAATCATTGTCGGAGAGAATATTAAGCTTTCACGAAACAGAACGAAACCCTAATTTGTTGCGAATCTAAAAGCGTGGGAAGATGAAGGCTCTAATTTTATAGAACCATATTGGGCCGCCGGGTGAGCGGGTATCCGGCCCAAGTCAATACGGCCTCCTACCTTTCTTTTCTTTTAAAATTATATTAAATTTTAAATTAGATCTTTATCGTTTAATAAAATAAAATAATACACAAATTAGAAACAATTTAATTATGAAGACATTTACACGTGTCGAACTCCTAGGAGGGTTTGATAAAGTGTGGGTGAGACTATGCGTAATCCAAATTTCCCTCCAAAAATTGAGACAATTTTTTAGGCACCACAACCCTACGATTCCCCACGCGCTTTCTTTCTCTCTCTAGCAATTTGTTAATATTTTTTTTAAAGAAATTATAAAAATTAAAAATAAATACTTTCACTATTTTTTAAAGCTTTCCCTAATAAACTTTTAAATTTTATATTTATTTCTTAATTAAGAAAAAAGTCAAAATATTTTTTTTTAAATAGAAAGCACGTTAATAATAAAGCAATGTTTATAGACTTTAAAATATTTTTTAAAATATAAAGTCGAGAAATTAAGTATTTTTTATCATTTTAAAATAAATTTAAAAGACTTGTATTTTTAGTATATTTACTATGTCTTAAATTTTTAATTTTGTCCCAAAATTTCTAAACTTTTAATTTTATATGTAATAAGTCATTAAATATGTCTCTAATAATTTTATCATATTTAAAAAAAAATTAAAAAGATAATGAATATATTAAATATAAATTTTTATTTATTTATAAGATATTAAAGTTTGAATTCTACCCCCAACATATTAACAATTTTTAAAAATGAAATAAACTAATAATTTATTAGATCTATAGTAACTACATTTTTAAAATTTTAGAAATTTATTAAATATAAAATTAAAAATTTTAATATATATATATTACATTTTTTTTTTTATATTTATGGATATAAATGAAAATTCTGAACTGTGAATTTATGTCTGCTTCTTGGCTCCTAAGCTTGGTCTTCCCCCTATGTCTCTGCATAGGACACAAAAAATGGTGACCCATTTCATTTTTCATTCCCATTCTCTCGATTTATTGTAGATCCATAATTCCAACACATTCAACGCTTCCCCCATTTCGAGTCATGGGTGTTTTGGGCGATTCTCTGTGTTTCTGCAAAGGGGTCGGCAAGTCCGAGAGAATCAAGGCTGCCATTTTTTCCGGTAAAGCCCCCGCCATGGCTCGTATCTCCCTCCCCGCCGCTGCCAATGGTGTCTCCGGCACCGCTTTTTTGATCCATCGGAGCCTTCTTTTGACCACCCATATCAATCTTCCTTCAGTTTCTGCTGCTGAGACTTGCGAGATCCGCCTCCAAAACGGTGTCGCTGCCAGCCTTGTTCCTCACAGGTGATTTGTTTTGCTTTGTTCTGTTCTGGGTATTGTAGGAAAGATGGAAGAAATGTAGAAGATTAGGATTAGGATTAGGCAGAATTAATGCTTCGTTTTGGGATTGCTTTTGGAGTATCTGGTTGCTGTTCTTGCTTTTGTTTTTATTTGCTGGAAATTGATGGCTGAAGTGACTGTGTGCAAGTTCAATAGCTCCTTTACTTTTTGGATATGATTACAGATTCAAATTCTATTTTGTTTTTTTCTTTCCCTTTGATTCATTGATTTCCCTCTTAAAATGTGGTGATTTGAAGGGGTTTGGATCAAGTGTCTACATTGCATTTATGTTGGATGGTCAAAATCTGAGACAGAGTTAGAAAATCTGCAATTCTTGTTCATCTCTCTCTTAGACATTTGGGTTATACCTCTTTATTCACTTTGTACAACTTCATCTACCTTACCCAATTGATCATTGGATCTTGTTTTTCTCTACTGATTGTTTGTCTCAATGATGTATTATGCCTAAGAAACATGCATCAACTAGGCAGCTTTGTAAGATACTTGGAATGTTTATACACTAAAAAGTCATACCAAAAATTAACCATTCAATCCCTTATACTTAGCTCAGTAAGTCAATTGTGAAAATTTATAGATATATTTGAGCACTTTTAGAGCTATATGAGACTGTTTTTGTGGGTATTGATACTTCTTGCAGCTTTCTAGGTAGGTTTAAGTATTTTGTTGTTGAAATTTTCTTTTTTGTGTGCTGGGTTTGAGTATTTTCATGGTTGAGCTTGAACATTTCTGTAGTTCGATTTTAAGTGTTTTGTTGGTCGATTTTTTCTCGATTTCTTGCTTGATTTGGAGAATATTCAAATCTGGGATGCAATGCAATCTAGTGAACTTGATAAATTTAAGGTTAAGGTTAAAGTTGACTTACTAGACTAAGTATAGGGATAAACATTATCTTTTGCTAATAACTATGAAGTGGTGTGCATACCTCTTTCAAGCCATACTTCTCTATCGTCAATAACAGGGAAGCTAGCATTCATTCTATGAGTTTTTGCTGTATCATGATTCAATACCTGGTAATCTGAAGAGAGGAACATTCTTCTTTAATTACTGGCCATGCTACAAAAAAAGGTAGTATTGTGTGAGATCCCACATCGGTAGGGGAGAAGAACGAACCATTTTTTATAAGAATGTGGAAATCTCTCCCTAGCATACACGTTTTAAAAACCTTGAGGGGAAGCCCGAAAGGAAAAGTCCAAAGAGAAAAATATTTGCTAGGAGTGGGCTTGGGCGGTTACAAATGGTATCAGAGCTAGATATCGGGCGATGTGCCAGCGAGGAGGTTGAACTCCGAAGAGGGTGGACTCAAGGCAATGTGCCAGTAAGGACGCTGGGCCTTGAAGGGGGGTGGATTGGAGGGTCCCACATCGATTGGAGAAAGAAACGAGTGCAAGCGAGGATGCTAAGCTCCAAAGGGGGGTGGATTGTGAGGTCCCACATCGGTTGGGTAGGAGAACAAAGCATTCTTTATAAGGATGTGGAAACCTCTCCTTAACATATGCGTTTTAAAAACCTTGAGGGAAAGCCCGAAAGTGAAAGCCCAAAGAAGACAATATTTGCTAGCGGTGGGCTTGGGCTGTAGCAAAATTTAATAACTTAAAAGACTTCGGAACTCTGTATTCTTCTGAAACGGTTGGCCTTTTACTTTTATCAACTTTACATACCATGTGTATCATTTGATGTGCATCATTTGCTTGGAAGTCTTCAGCTAATTTTTGAAGTTTACTTTGGTTGCAGGTTTTTCATTACAAGTTCTGTTTTGGATCTTACAATAGTGGGATTAGATGCAGTGGATGGAGACTCCAACTCTCAGCAGCTTCAACACTTGAAGATATGTTCTAAACCAAATCTTGATTTCGGCAACTCCGTTTATCTCCTGGGATATTCCGAGAAAGACGAGTTAATCATTAGTGAGGGCAAGGTGGTTATAGCCACTGATAACCTTATAAAGTTGTCGACTGACGGGGTAACATGGAGTCCTGGTTCTGCTGGATTTGATGCACAAGGTAACCTTGCATTTATGGTATGCGATCCTATGAAACTAGCCACATCTCCGAATACCAAATCATCGTCGACTTCTTCGTCGACTTCATCGTCTTGGAAGAAGGATCTTCCTATGCAATTCGGGATTCCTCTGCCAATCGTTTGTGATTGGTTAAACCAACATTGGGAAGGTAGTCTTGATGAACTTAACAAACCAAAGCCACAACTCATAAGATTGATGTCTTCAGGACAAAAGAGTGAGCATTCTTCTTCCTTCTCATTGAGGCAAGTTTTTAAGCCAATGGAGGTGAATGATGAGGAAACACCTTCACCATCAAATATAGTCTCAAAAACCAGGGACGTGGCTGGACCGAGCTATTCCGCTACGTCGAACACCATCAAGGAAGAGGCTCTGATAACTAACCTACATGTGAATCATGCGCAAGGAATTCCTACTCCCGAAATATACGAATCGCCAAAGCTGATTGCAGTTCCTGTTCGAAAAAAGGAAATTACGCCAACACAGCTTCTGGATATCAACTTTCCTCCAAGAGTTTCCACAGCTGTGATTACTCCGCATCCTACCAGACCAACCCGACTCAGCTCTGATGAAAATTCGACAAAGGATGTTTCTCAACAGAACCAATTGAGACAAGACAAAACCATGAACAGAAAACTTGTCAATCCTGTCGAAAACGGAGAAGATAGAGAAGAGGTTGCCTCAACAAATTCTGTAAATGGGGCGTTAAGTGAAGTTCAGTCTTGTTCATCTCCCATGGAAGCTTCAGAGGTGCAGGACGAGTATAGCAGCGAGGGAGAGACGACAATGTACTCTGCAGAAACTGCAGAGAGCCGAAACTATACAAGTCCTAGAGAAGGGAAGTTTCAACAGGTTGGAAGGAGTCAGAGTTGTGTAAACTACAATAGATGGGGATCAGTCCAAAGAAATCCAATGGCTCGCCAGACAATGCTAGAGAATCAAAAAAGTTATAAAAGTGGAAGGAATATGCATTCTCAAGGGGCTGGATCTTACCGGAGCAATGACTACTACGGCCCGACAGTCTCCTCGATCATGAAGAAGCGAAACAGCTCGGAACAAGTTAACAGACCAAGGCAAAGCTCTGCTGCTGGTCACTCGTCCCCGAGATGGATGTTCTGATAGAATTATCATTCAACACACACAAACAAAGGGAGAATAGGGAACAAATATTAAGGTTTGTCAGTGTATTTGATTCCTAATTTATTCAAACTTAGATACGGCTTATTCATTTCTTCACTTGTGCAGAGACCAATTTTCCATCTACATTCTTTATTGTGATTGTAAAAATTAAACTAGTGTGACTTAATTCTTGTTTTGAGGGGATAAAAGAGTAAAGAACAGAAGAACCAGATGAAAAAATGTCTGGAATTAGTAACTTTTATTCTTCTTTTGGAGTGTGCTTGTGCCAAATGAAGCACCATTTTGGATCACTACATGGATCGAGAAAATTTAGATTCAGGAAAAAATTGGCATCATTGAAAGTAGCTTATAAGCAAGATACTCTAACATCATATTTTGGACCTACTTCAAGAGGATCCCCATGCAGGTTTCCCCAAGCTCATCTCTGGAAGGGGCAGACTGAGATTGAATGCAGGGCTTTGTTCAAACCAACCATATTTATTAATGAGCTTGCCAATCAAATCACCGGCTAAGTATGAGAAGCCTCCGGCCCCAGCCGCTATAACGATGTAAGATGCTACTGTTTTGAGGTACACATCCCACCTGTTTGGTCTCTGAATGTAAGCCTTCCCAAGAGCAAGCAACATGATGCATAAAAGAGATGCTCCTGCCACTGCTGCAAGCTTGAAATCCTTGTCATTGCTCTTGGTGAATGAGAAGCCGTAAACGAGTGGGGGGATTAGACCGAAGAGTATGAACGAGAAGATAGCGAGAACAAAATGTAGAATGTAATTCTCACGCCTTCCCAGTACTACTTCGTATCGGTCTACATGTTTATGATCGTCTGCTTCATTAGCTGTCCTTCTGAACTGGTCGCTCTTGAGTCCTGTCAACTGCAAATTGTGTATGTTTAATGAGTGCTTGTGAGTGAACAAACTTAATGCAATGGACTCTTCAACAAAGTAATACAAACACAGACTCAGATAGCAGCTCTCCTCTACTATATATTTTTAATTATAAACATTCATATCTGAGGTCTATCAGAAAGTCAGCTACTCACATTATGTCCAAGAATAAAAAGCCCACTAATCAGGTTTGCCAGCGCCAAAGCTACAATGTTCCCTGCCAAAAGGGCATGAAAATAGATTAATGTTTTGACAAGTTAGAGAGACCAATTTTTAGTCAGTGAAACAGGTAATTTGGTTCAGATTTGAACTAAAATAAATCAGGATATATCATGTTTCAAAAATAGGTATGTTACTCTATTACGGTGTAACTTGAGATGTCCGTGCTCTAGCATTTCTTGTAGGCACAAGAATGTTTGCATAAAACTGGATTCAAAATGTTACTTTTTCCCGGCAATTAAGTTCATGTTCCTTATCCCAAAAATATTTTAGATGCATGAGTTTAAGAAAAGCAGAAAATTGATCTATCAACCTATTTTGTGCGAAGGAAATGAATTCAATCCGTGTATCCTATAAATATTCATGATATTGGTTAGTTTGGTAGAAATACAAGAGAAAATACTGGATTGGAATTTTAACAACTACTTTGAGTGTGAGAAACAAACTAGACGGATCGCGATCATTCCACTAAAAAATGAATATCAGCTATTTATAAGCATCTCCTACTGATTGATCAAATGATAATCAACATGTCATAACCAGGATAGAAAAAAGATGTTATATAACAAACCTGTTGCGGTATTGGCACTTGCTGCAGATGCCACGATGCCAAGGCTTGTAATTGATTCAGCTAAACCACCGTAAACTATACATTTCACAATTTCCCACCTGTTAAGCTTACTTGATTCAGGTTCTACTTGTTCATCCAAAGAATCATCAACGGTTATTGCCACAGGTCCTGTTTCAACTAACAAGTTCATATCATATCAGTCCCAAAACTAGTAGAAAAATTCTACCTAAAAAAAATTCAATAAACTATTCTGTCATTGTAGCTAATGTGAAATTAACAGCAAAGACCAAAGCCAAGATTCTTCCAAACTTCAATATAAAAGTGTCAAGTTGATCAAAGTGCTTGGTTCCATCTTGAGAGGCCAAAAGTGTATTTTTTTTTTCCCCTAAAATTTAAAATAAAAGGTAACAAGTACATATTCCAGATAATATAACTATGTGTGTGAGCTTCAAAAACGTGGTGCTAATTCATTCAGTATGACTAGAAAGATAACATCCCAAGCTGAGAATACCTTCGTGACTGCCAACTGCACTGTCCAGCACTCTCTCAGCAGCTGGAGCTCCGACGGAAGGAGAAACTGGGGAAGAATCAAACACAGTAGCTTCTTCTACAGGTTCTGGAGTTTTTGGGATCTCTGTTTTAGCAACTGCAGCTGACTGATCAGGAACAGAAATTTTGTTTAACAACAAAGGTAGCCTAAATCGATCAAGCAGCCCTCTCTTTGGCTCTGAGGATGTGTATGGAATTCCAATCACAACATTCTCATCATCAATACCTGCATAAAAATTTAGCGAGATTCGAGCATTGAAGTAAGATGAGAGTTTTCTGTTTCCTCTTATATACCAAATGAATCAGGACATCATCTTAACATCTATTAAGTACTTCCCCAAATAAAACTTGGTAGTACCTGACCTTAAAACCAAGAAAATTTATGAGATGCTTCTCTAAAAGTATTTAAGCGTGCATTTTTCAAAAAACATATTTTGATATGAGTGGACAGCAGAAATAGTTGTAGACGTTCAAAACAAATCTTGAGAACACTCCAAATGTGATTGATAGTATAATCCAAAAAACAAACTTCCAGTTGAATATATAACGCTTGTACCATACCTTTTTTGTCATCAAACGTATCTGTTGCAGTCTCAGCCATCATTGCTTCAAGAGAAGGAAGACCTGGTGTTGAATTGACTTTAGTTTCAGTTTGAGACTCCGATAATACTGCTAATCCATTTGACTGATTCTGAACTTCCACTTTGTTTACTGTTGCAGTTTGATTATCTACATCCAGCACTGATCCATTTGACTCATGCGATGTGTATGGTATTCCAACTACAATATTCTCCACGGTATTTCCTGCATCAAACACATCATAAGAGCAAGGTAGGTAAGAAAATGGCAAGAAGAATCAACTTTTAGTTTATGCACTATCTCTGAAATATTCTTGATTTGAAGTCATGGCAGGAAAGGACCACACTGTCTCTACGTGTTGATCAGGTAAAAGGTTGTTCTGTTCTGTATTGGGACATCATGTTGGAGGTAAACATGAATAAAGGGGTTGTATTTCGTAAGAGTAGTAACAGGGCCAATACATGTTTTTGGTTTTTATCTAAGTTAAGTCACCACAAAAACAAAGATGGCCTGCAAAGCGCTACCAAATCTAGAAGCATTTTCCAGAAAGTCCTCCACAAATCCTCTAGACTTTTGGTATTTCTTTATTTTAGAATGGCATTATTGTTTCTTATAAAAAAAACCAAAAAAATAAATTAAAAAGTAGGGCCCAATGATTACCTTTCCTGCTGTCCTTAGCAATGCTCGAATCTTCGGTAGAATCTACTTTAGCTTCCAGGGCTTTGTCATTAGTCCATATATCAAAATTAACCAGCTGATCAAGAACTTGGGTTTTATTTATGGAAGCATCTTGAATTCCTTGATCATATATTGTTTCAGCTGAATCTAGCACCGGGTCTGGTTTTTCAACTATGATGCTCTCAATTTTGTTTCCTGCACCAAGAATCACAAGAAATTGGCCAAAGATGCTTCAAAGTTATATTAATACTACCTTAGCGCTAATTGTTTTCTTATCCACGTAGCATAACAAGTAATTACAAAAAACTTGTATGAATGTCCAAAGAAAAACATGAAATCTAGAGACCTAACATCACTTGGATTCCTTTCCAAACCTCTAAACATTCTATTGTTCCTCTCTCCCCAAATATCTCACAATAAAGCACACACCCTGACAATCCACAAGTGACCTTTCTCCCTAAAAGGCAAATGGAGAAGAAATTCATCAATCATATCATTCAAGCCTCTATTGTGGGCTAACTAAAAGTCAAATGCCTCAAGAAAAAGATATCTCCGCACAGAACACATGATGTCATATCTCCAGAGAATATGATCAAGTCTTCCTTTGTCTTTCGACAAAAAATACAGTAGAATCAACGAGGGTCCCTTTCTCGAGATTCGATCCAAAGTATTAACTCAACCATGGATAACATGTCAGAGAAAGAACCTAGCCTTCTTTGAAATCTTAATGTTTCAAAGAGTCGATAAAACAGAATCCTTATCAAGAGAAGGATCCTTCAAACAACGAAAGAAGGAACTACAAGAGAAACCCCAAAAGGTTAAGGCTCCAAATATACGCATCCCAACTTCCGATCCTAAAATTAAACTTCCCTATCAAAGACAGAAGGAAGTAAAGAAGGGGGAAACAAGGGAAAAAAAAGTCATTTAATAACTAAAAGAAGGGAAAAAAAACGAACTCTCCAACTATTTTTATCTTTTTGGAATACATTTCTTTTGAAACATGATATCATTAAGCGCTGTTTTTCTAAAAAAATATTAATGTGAGTCAATCTCTATACAAAAAATAATTTAAAAAAGAAATACTCATCAAGGGAAACAAGTTCTACATGTTACTGCTGGAGAAACAAAAATATCTAACCTCAAATTCCAAGCATGACTTTAGTTGTGAGCTACTACA